GCCCTGTCCCGGGTCTCCATTGCCCTCGCTGCAGGGGACGGGAGTGATTTCCCAGCCAGAACCGGTGGGTAGGTGCCGCGTTCCTCCAGGAAGCCGTGGGGACTCTTAAGAAGGCGAGGGCGGCTGGGGGGTCTGCTCTCAGCTGCAGTGGGCAGGGTGCAGGTCTCCTGGGGCGTTACCCATTGCTTTTCCTTGCAGGAAGTTAAAGCTGAGGGATCTACAGCGAAGGGTCTTCTTCTAAAATTCTGTAAAATCCGTGAGAATGAGGTATGGACCTCTGCAGCTATGGGTGCCCCCAGATTCATGCTGAGCACTGTTAGAATAATTCCTCTCCCGCTCCTCCGAGCCATTGGCCGAGTTGCTGTTGGATTGTGTAGGGCATGTGAAAGTCAGAGACCCCATGGGTATATTCAAAAGATGCAGGAGAAAAAAGAACCTCAAAGTGCAAGTGTCTTACTGAAGTTGGGCCTGTAAGGTTGAAAGTGCTCTGCCTGTTTGATTTTTGTCTGTGAGGCTTGGTAAGGGGAAACAGGTGAGATTTTCTCAAGGCACCTTTCACCACCAAAAATCAGTTTCTCAGGTGAATAAATTCTTGTATGCAAAATAATCACAGAACAATCAGAGTTGATTATCAGAGCCAAAGAACAGCTTGTTTCGTGGCTAGCTTCAAGAAGGCCAACTGCTGCACAGCGTGGCATAGCACTAGAACCCTTATGTGCCTGTGCTCTCAGCTAACTTCCTTCCAGGATTTTTCTTCCCGATTTGAGTCAGTAAGGACTCAAAGCATCCAGTAGCTGGTTTGTCTTTTTGTTTTGCTGCACAGTGTCAGAAATGGAGCAGTATATCCAGGGTTTCCTTAAAATTTATAGCAATAAAGCCATGTATGGGCAGAGGCATTTGGGATAGAAGTAAATACAGATGTTGAACCGTATTTGCTGTCTAGTGCAGGGGCAATAGAGACCGAAAAGTTGTATCAGTGCCAGGAAGCCTGTCTTCTAAACCCTGTCTGGGTTTAATGTCAGTGTAAATTACCACCTAGCTGTAGGTGTGCAACAGATGCTTCCTTCTGCAGGGGGAGCAAACAGTCCTCTGAAAGCACCTGAAGCCCTCGGGGCAGGTAACCCTACCACAGTGCTTCACCAGTGCCAGTGTGCCCAGAGCAGGTGGAGGGAGCTTCCAGATTATGCAGAGCTACCAGAAATCTCCCGTCGTCTTCTGCTCTTGCTGGTCTGTGATTAACAGCTTGCAGGACAGTGGGTTTTTTCTTTCAAGGTTTAGAAGTCTTTGAAGACGTGGTAGGTTTCGACGCAGTATATCTAAATTGCTTTGGCACAGAGTTAGTTTTTTAAGGCTCTTGCTGTTACTCTATTACTAAATAATAACATGTAAAAAACGAGATGCTGCTTCATATGCCTGCTCAGTTCACGATGTAAAAACTGCAAGTACCATTATCTCAGGGTTATCTGGCCGGTGTTATTGCAGGCTCTGCTAATCTACAAGTGTAAGTTTGAGACCACAGGCATCTTCTACTAGGAGTTAATGACCCAGCAGTGAGATTTTCTTGGGATGTTTTTAGATTATTGTTTTCCTCCCTGAGATTGGCTGTTGGAAATTTTGATACAGCTGATATTTCTGAGTTTCCTGAGCTATACTGAGTAAAAAAATATCCTGTATTGTAGCGTAATGCAAGTAGGTTATAAAAGACATGGATTTTAACCAGTTAGTAGTTAGTCAACAGAGAGACTGATACTGTCATTAAAACTGCCTAGTTAAAAACTGTAAGCAACCTGTTGTTCTTTGAAGAAACAGACCAAAGTTGAGATTGAAGACTGAGATAAACCCCCACCAGTTATTAGTGCATAATATTGCCACATGGGTTAACAGTAATTTCATTTGAAGTTTGTATTAACAGCAGCTGTGCAAACTACAAGGCTTGAAGGTTTAGTTTTGTCTCCATGCTCATTTAATCTTTAGTCTCTGCTGACATTACAAGATAAATTAATTACGTGAAATGTTGGAGAACAGTGTTGAATTGTTTACTCTCTCAGTCCTCTTTTATCCTGTGTATCAGAAGTGTAATTAAGCTGTAAGCAGACTTCTGATGTGAACAACTTTGTTGGTAGAAGCTCAAGTTGGGTTTGTGCTGGTGGATGATGAATTTGTTAATCTTTTTTTATTATTTCACTTCAACAAATTTCAGCAGTGAAAACATCTTCAATTTTACAATGCAAAAGCTTAATCCATTGAAGTTCTCTTGGTAAAGTGCTGTGAGACTGACCCGTGGTGGTGGACGATGGTGGAAGCAACAGTTTCACACCAGGACAAATGTCACTACGTTAAGTCAAGTAAAATCCTAGACATGTTTATGTTAATGTTCATGGTCTCCAGGTCTTCCTTTTTTTAAAGAGATCTTGCTTTGCTTTCTTATTCACAGTCTCTGTTAATGCGTTGGAAGGAAAAGACTGCAAGGAATCTATCAAGCTGATTGCAGAAAGCTCTAATCTCTCGGAAGAACAACTTGCTTTCCTCATTTCTGGCATGTATACCCTTCTCCGAGAGGCATTGAGACTCCCCTTATCAACTTTCAAACAAGAAGTAAGTTCTGGGAGTACTCAGAGCCCTGATAGGTTAAAAGCTGTCGGATGCAAGTTACCATTTACACCCTTTTTGCCAGGGTGGGAAGCTGCACATAAAAATGTTGCTCCAAGTTAAAGTGGTTGGAAGAAACTGTTAAAAATCCAGAGCTTATCATTTCACTCGTTGGGTAGATTTACAGTGACCTTTTTGGAAGCGTACTTAAGCTTTGGGAAAGAGATTCCTGTATCTTTTTCTGCTTCAGCATCTCGTTTACTGTGCATGTTTGTTTTCACTCTTAAATTAAAAACCCTAAAAGAAACCTTTGCAAAGTGTTATTTCGCTGGCATCAACTCTCTCTTACCCTGTGTGTTCACACATACTGCTCGTTTTGTCCACACTTACAATGTCTCATATTTGTTTGCCTGCCTTTCTTCATACTTCTGCCTTAGAAGAAGGAAGGCCTTATGGCCAGAACAATATAGTGGAAACTGGGAGATGGTGCTTTTTCTGTTAATGCTATGGATGTGTTGTGCAAATATGTATACATCTGCCACATTCCCAGCCTCTTCTATTCCTTCTTCATGGCTATTTTCTTTCCTTTTTCATGTTACTTTACCTTACATTTTTTTATTTTCTCATTCTGTTTTTATCTGGTCTTCTGGCACCTCTCTTGTTTAAGATACTGGTTTCATGTTTGCCCACCTGTACTGGGAAAGTTCATGTATTGCAGGACACATAGTGAAAGTATGCTTTTAGTATTCAGAGCTTATATTTTGCCGCTTCCCTTCTGTTGTCGTAGTTTAAATGAGTTACTGCAAAACATATTTGAGAATAAGGGCACATAATTACTCTAAAAGAAGAATATGTTATGGATAGCTATGTAAAAGAAATGGCGGGGATATTATCTTCCAAAATAAAGGCTTCCAAGAGATTTAGGTCTTTAAAATTAATTTCTCACAACTTGATTGAAGACTTCTGGAAATTCTTCTCAATATGTAACCTGTCATTTCAAGACTACTGGCAATCGAGACTAAAACTTCTGCAGAAGGATACCAAACAAGTAATCACTATTAATTCACTAGGCAAGAAATGATCTTTCAAGACTACATCCTGTAAAATTTCACCTTCCTTGTCTTTCTAGGTTTTTAAGGAAGACCTAAAGGAGCTCAGGTATGCCTGTTTTTTAATGTGTTTTTTCATAACTTTTATGTAACTGCTTCCTCAAATCAACTTTTTTACACAGCAAAGTTGGTATAAAAATTACCTGTAAATAACACATAATACATCTGTTGCCAAATGTCATGTGAAGCCAGAGGAACAAAGCAGGTGTTGTGTTAAGACTTGATTTAGCACAGAGCACGAGCAGTAAATTTCACGTGCTGGGGAGACTGGTCTAATTTAGTCCGTAATGTAGGTTATGCAAATGTGAGTGACCTCCTCTCTGCCATCCCCGCCTTGCCCTGCAATACTTTTTAACATGTTTAGTAAGACAGCGGTAACATTTCTGAAGTTAAGAAACTGCCCTACATTTTTTCTTCTCTGAAAGGCCAATGATAAAATGCTCATTAAATCCCACCACCTTGTTCAGTTACGATCTCTTCTGCTCATGACCCAAGAAAGCATAACACTTGTTACAGACCTAGTCAAAACCATCCGTTCTAGTCTGTTCAGGGTGTCTCTGAACAGAAGTTCATATCCTAAAAGCTAGACATCAGATACTAATAATCTTTATAGGTTTTCCCTTATATCCATATTCAGTAGCAATGAGCAAATAACAGCAGTTGATGTTTTCATCTATAGAGAAAGCTCTGCACCAAGGCCCAGTTATTTTAGAATGCCAATTTCCCATAATCTTAGCATTCTAATTGCTACCTAGGAGAAATAGTTATGTTTCTTATTCTGTCTTTTTTCATCCTTATTTGCCCATTAACCTGTACATTGGCTTTCTCCTCAGACTCTGTTCTGCAGAGTCATAAGCGTAGTTTCCTGTATGAGCAACTTCAGGCAAATTAAAGCTGCAGATTTAGACATGTAATCAGTGAAAGGTGTAATTGAGGCCATGATGAGAGGTGCCTTGCTAGTTGATACAATTTAGTCTGCAGCTCAGTGCTGGAGTTTGGCCTGCCTTTTGTCCTGTGAGCTAAAACACGAGCTGCTTCCTCTGCCACATCATGGAGTTCACGCCCAGGTTAAAGTAGGTCAGTAAGAAACTGATGAATTGCTTTTGACCCAGAGGGAGTCGGGGTTTTTTTGAGGTGCACACAGAAGGTGTTCAGTGTGATTAAGGAATAATGAAGAGCCCCAAAAGGTCCATGCCAAGTTCTCTGGGGGTGGGTGAATATTCCTCTCTTGAGCAATGAAGAAAGTTGATGTACAGGAGTGCCAGAAGTCGCTGGCTGGGCTGGCTGTGTACACTGGCTGTATCCTAGGCCCCTGTCCCTGTCATTGGACCTTACTTCAATGCCTTACACTTTTGTAGTTGGCTTTTATTTTCCCTCACTTTGTGGATTATTCACGGAGCTATGAAGATACTTTTCAGTCTTGATGATCTTTATATCTTGATAGCATCTTTAGCATCTTTGATTCCTATGAGAAATGTCATTTCCTATGTTGCCCAATGTTCTTGGGTTTGGAGATGAAATACCTGCTCATTTTTAAGGCATCTACTAATTACATTCAGACACTTATCCTTCTGCAGTGACTCCTTTTGGGTCATCCTGTGATCATGTGCGTGAAGAACATATGTAATTGGTTGTTCAGCAATGTCTTGGCATTACTGACACCCTGTGTTTGGGCAGGTATTTTGCATTTTAAGGCAGAGAAATTGTTTATTTCCCTTTTTTTGCTGTGTTGTCTTTTAAAAGATTTGAGCTCTGAGCCAGGTTTCCTTTTTTCACCTCTCCTACATTCTATCTTGTTTCCTTCAGTGAAGCTGAAGATTGGACTAATTCCACCCATATAAAGTCTTACAGTTCTCAATTTCCTGGAGATGCAGCTGGTCTTGGCTTCAAGTTTTGGTGGAGAGAGAGACTTGGAGACATCCCCACTTCTGATTAATCAGATCAATACTACTGGTTTCACAGAGTGGCCATTCTATATCCCCTGTTCCTTGGCCTGACTAGCTAAGCCAGTGAGAATAAATTCACTTTAAATTGTAGGTGCTATTTTTCCCTCCCTTCTCAGGTGGTTTAATAACTTTATGGTTCAGGCCAATAGCATGGGATTGAGACATCTTCACACCTTCTTTCTTGCCCTTTGAGTGCCTTCCATAGAATGTTCCTTTGAAAACTGATTGCCATCTGTAGCTCAGGCCTGAGCTGTGCTGTGTTCTGTGTCTGATCTGCTTAGTGTGTGACTGGCCTTGTGTAAGCTGCTTGAGCCAGGAACAGAATTTTCAGCAAAATCATTAACTGTACAGCAAAATGAAAGCTCAAAAGGTAGCATTAATGCTATTGTTTTAGTAACGCTTGCTCTTACAATTGAGCAAGTATTGCAATAGATATCATAATAATCATACCACAACCCCTTGTCTCCAGCTATTCCACTACGTACAGAGGATATTCGGTCACCATCAGATTGGGTTAAGTGGTACACTTGCACAGAAAGTATAAGTAATAGTTGCAGAAATAGATTCTTGTCTCTTCTGAAAGACAGACAGACACATGCAGCCAAAAAAGCACTTGCTAGTCCCTCCTCCTCACCTCCCAGCTTGTCTCAGTTAACTGCCTTGCTAAGATGAATTCAGTTTTATCCAAGCGCCATTTAAAAATGCGTTTTAACCCCCCTTCTTCCATTAAGAATTCAACCTCTAATAACTGCTGTTTCATCTTCCTACTGTGTGAGTTGATGAGTTGTTTTTTCTGCCATCATTAGACACTGTAAGCCCTTTAGGACAGATAACTTCCTTGTCTGCTTTGATTTTTCTTTGATACACCACTGTGTATCTCATGCCACTGGTGAGTAATGTCTCTGGGCACTGATTCATGTTGAGTGCTGGATTGAACAGTGGCAGCAAAAGTAGTTACTTCTCCCACTTGTCCAACCTGTCTCTCTGTAGGAGGTTACTGTCCCTCTGGCAAAGGCAGCTGAGTGGATAGTGTTTGCTCTGCGGTCTTTGCAATTCACAGCCTGATATATTGACCTGAAAACCCACAGCAGTTTGTTTGTAAGACAACAACAGTGTTGGAGGAGTGGTAAGGTAGTGGAGAGGCGTAGGGTGGACGGAGTGTGAGTTAGCCTATTCGACCAGTTCTTATGGTCCCCATCAAATTTATGCTTGTCCTCCCCATGCTATATATGCTCCTTTTGTAAGTAATCTTAGCTACAAGGGCATCTGTTTTCACTTTTGAGGGAGCAGTTCATGCTGTCTCCTTTTCATTAAGCTTCAGGTGAAAGTGCAGTGAGATGTGTAGGTTAGGGATTTTTGAAAGCATGCATTGCTGGCCTGCCTTGTCAGAGCCATCAGTAGGGCTTTTCTTGACTTACTGAGAGAAGTTAAGCAAATACTGGGTTCTTTTGAAACTCACTGTTGCCATACTAGGTAGGACAGGAAAATGCAATAGGTTTTTAGGGTCCTTGATATAAAAACAGGCTGTCCTTCTGAGAGCCTAGACTGAATCAACGCTGAAGTGGTTACGTAAGAGCTGATGGCAATTTTAAGCAATGGAGGGTGGAAAATGTTGACACATTTTTTGTGTTCTATAATAGATTTTTTTTTTGCTAGCTAAGGCCATATATTTGTGGTTACAAAACACTTAACTGTTTTGTATTGCTCTTCTCTTCAAGGATACCAGAAGACTTCATTGCGGACTTTTCCAGCATAGTCTTTGGTAACAGGTTAGTATCTTCATGCATCGTGCATTGTGCAACCAGCAGTGCTGCACAGAGCTCTGCTGACAAAAATCTCGGGCCCGTTGAGGGAACAGCAAAATTCTCAAAATTTATGGGAACGAGCTTTGTCCCATTATTCTGATTCAACATTACACGATGTCCATCATGCCTGGCTGTATGTGCAGTGTGTAGCCTTTGTGCCAATTTTCAGTTTTTCTGTTACCGCCACCCATCAGTTTTTATAAAGTTCTGTAGCCTCTGTAAGGTGCATCAATACATAGAGATGAAAAATGCATTGCATAATTAAGCATTTTAATCGTCATTATCATTGCAAGTTAGAGCAAAAGTGAAAGGCTTGCTTTGTTGAGAGGCAAGCTACCTATGCCTTTTATGTGCTGGGAAGCCTTCTCAGATAGCATTTAATCAGGTCTTAATGTACAGTTGAATTGGGAATTTACACTGACAGTGACTTGATGACATGTATGAGATACCAAGTGCTCTGCTGGCTGTAATTTGTTTTCTAAGCAGTGTACCTCAGTACCTCCAGAAGAAGTACTAAATCAAGAACTTTTTCATAGCCTGTCTCTTTTGTCTGTTCTAGGGATTCCTTTCTCCTATGTAGTTCTTTGCTCAACCATATTTAGCTTATTCTACATCCAGAAATTGCTTGAACTTTTTGCATATGCAAAACTTTCCTCCTTTAAATTTGAGGTCGCTTAGCACATAACATCACTAACCCAACACTGCTCTAGATATTCTGCATGGAATCCTGATAACCATAGTTGTGGTATTTCAGTTACCCTCACAAGGGTCTGAATGCTGCTACCAGAGATCTTGGCTTAAAGCTAAAGGTTCTTGGAGTAAAAATAAATTCAGCCTTCTTATCTTTTCTTTGCTCTTCTGTTTGAATTATAGGTGTTAAGAATGCAAAATTCATGGTTGCAAAGTGGAAATATTGTTTGCAGTGGAGAAAGAGGATAAATTTAGATGTCATTTGAAGCATGCATGATTGTCTGTTTTCTACTGTGAAATCACGATGCTGGAAAATTTAGCTTTTTCTCATTTCGAAAGCTGTGATTATCCAGTGTAATCATGCTCTGTGTTTTGAGACCAGAGAAGAGCACCTCAGACTTGATTTCTAGACAGATCTGCTTTTATAATCTTAAATGTAACACTGAATCATACATATGCTTATAGAGTTGTAAATATATGTGATTGTGATGGTAAGACAAGTATTAGCATCAAAAATTCAGTCTGAGCTAGATAACCTAGAAAAATCCATTTTTAATACTTTTCTTGGCAGCTTATCCTGTTTTTGATATTTTCTTCACTAAACAACAGCTCTGAAGTACTGGAGATTTGACATTTGTATTTGTGTCCCCACAGTTCCATCAAGCTATATAGACTGAAAGGAAAGAAAAACACGCCACACTGCTGCCATCAAATAACTGCTTGAAATTAAAACTGTGTTTTGTTTGTTTGTTTGTTTGTTTTAAGGGAAAGGATAACCCTAACTTCCTCATCTCTGAATGTTTATAATAAATGTACCGCATATTTTTTAAAGTAGTGTAGCTTTAGCTTCTACCAGGAAGGTGTGTTCTGTGTGCCATTTGTCAGCATGTCACACATACCAGTTTACTCCTTCTCCCTGTTCAGTGGCCTGCTAGGCATGTGATGTTATGTGCATCGGAAACCATCCAGAATTTGTCTTTGGTTCCGATATTGTTAGATCAGCTGCTGCCACAAATCAACTAAACTTTCATTTTTGAGTGCTCTTCCGTGGTATCATCTGGCAGATGGTATTCTTCTTGTCAGGTGTATCCTCTCCATGTGTAATTTGGATGGTCTCTAGCTGATGCAGTGTGCTTTATTTGTTCTCACTTCTGCCTTCTGCGCTATGTGCTGACAGTATATTGCAGCTGCTGACACAGAGTGTTTACAAAATGTAGTTATAGTCTATCGATTTTGGATACAGGATCCATTGATCTTTTCTGCTCCATTTTGCTATTCCTCTTAGAAATCAATGGCTTGATTAATGGCCTGTATAATTTCTGCAGGTATGTTGGCTACTACGCACATTCTGTCATCCTACCAGGATTCTTGCAGTTCCAGTTGTGGTCTTATCCAAACTGGGAAGGAGCTGACAGAAGCTTAAACTAAGCTATAAAGGCCGTGACTCCTTCTGAGGCAATGGTGCTGAAGTGCAGTTCTGACCAGAACTAAAGCTTTGTGGTCTGAACACAGAAATGCCACAGCTTAACAATATTCAGAAGCTTCAGTGTTTGGGCATTGCTGACATTTCCCACTGCACTAACTAGAACATCTTCCTGTTTTCTGCTCTTTCTTCCTCTCAAATGCTGGGGCTGCGCTGAATAGACTATCTTCCATTGATGGGAGCTAGCATGTCTTAAGGAAGCGGTAGCAGTGTGGCTATTTTTAGGCATTCCCCAAATTAAGGAATACTCTATCAGCAGCTCGCCACTGAGAGAAAGGCCTGTTCTTACTGTCTAATCCTGCTAATGACCATTGTAGACTCCAGCTCCTCATGGTTGCACCCAGCTGTGATGACCTACTTCCTATCCAGTAGTTGACAGCTGATCTGTTTTTTTCTGCTCATTCCTTTACCGTACTATTAGGAATATGTGTCAGTTCTGACACCACCCAACCCCTCCCACCACCCCAAAAGCAACAAATTCTTTCTTATATTGCCTTTGCTAAATGCAAGAGTATTGGAGGAGCTGCACCTGTCAGTTCTGTGCACCTTATCAAGTCATTAATCTTCCTGGGCAGTTTCTAAAGGCACCAGCCAACTTGCACACAGCAATCTGAGTAGGGATGTTAGACTATCATTCCTGCAGTCCTTGATTTGTTTGAGAGGATTCCTTTCTGATGTAAAGTCTGTAATTAGATTATGTCTAGCACCATGGATAAAGGATGTAACATTTCTTATCCTGCCTTTAGTGGAAGTACTGGAGTAGCTTTGAAATGAACCATAAATAACTTCCAGAGACTTGGGATACTTAACAAAATAAAAAAAATAAAAAAAAAGGTAAGTAACTTGAAGTCCAGACTAGGTCCTGAATGGACCAGCTCAGTGACCTCATTCTGAAGCTGTTTCTGCATGTATATCTAAAAACGGGTGGCTGTTATGTCTTTGTATCAGATTTGGCTTGTTTACTTACTCAGAGCTTAAGATGCTGTTAAAATTTTAACGACTGTCAACCATCTGAGGTTTAATCGCTGTCAACCGTATTTCCTCACTGAAATGTACTGAGGCTTGATCAGTCTGCTTCTTCCTGCAATATGAGAAATAAATGAAGTCCGTGGCTTCTTACACATTGGACTAGACAAAAATCGTGCAGGTTGTGCTGGGGTTGGCAGTGAACATTACGGAAGGAACTTGGAGTTTGTAAATCATGTTGGATTAGCAAGAATCACTGAATTTCTTCTTTTTTTTAAAGTGTGCTTCAAAGTACACCCTAGTATTATTATATTTTAAAACACTGCTGCTTGCTAATACTAGCTGCTTTCTGCTGAAGGAGCACAGTTACCTTAGTCCAACTTTTTTTCTCAAGTCATCTGTCTTATTTCTGCTTGCTTGTTCCTGTTGGATCTACTTGAAGGTAAAGGTATATTTGCAGCTGCCTTTCTGTGCCTCACAGTCGCATATAATTGGAATAATAGATATGCCAGCCACCACAATGACTCTTACTAAACCTCATAGTGACATCAGTTTACTGTAATTACACAGAGTCTCTTTTCTTTTTAATGTGGACCACAGTTAAGCATAGGAAAAGTGAGTAATGTGAGCACAGCTGCCTATTGCACAAAACCTCAACTCATTCAGACCTCTCTAAATGATAGATGTAGAAGAGAAACACGTTCCAGACAGGTTTGTTCTGAGGAATCTTGTTTTCTCTTTAGAGTGTTGTTTCTTTTCTGAATTTGCATTTCAGTCTGCCATTTCTGATTTACTCTGTAGGCGTCCTGCTTCTGAAGCGCTTATACAAAGAAGTAGGCTGCCAAGTGTCCAGGACTTCAAGTGGAGGGTGGACGTAGCTATATCCACAAGGTATAAAAGAGAATCCTGTATGACCCTAGAAATTACTTTGCCTAAGGTTAAGCCGACTTCTTGTGCTGTTTAAAAATGTTAACAGTGTTAAAATGTGTCTTGCTGTTAGGTATTGGCACGTAGTGTTCAATGGTACGATACAGAGAGGATTTGCTGAACGGTGTAGAAGTTGGTTTATATACAGGTTACTGCTGTTAAAATGGACGTGCCAAAAGGCTGCTGCCTTCGTCTTCTGCTGATGATGCTTTTTAGCCTCCTTATTTGTTTTGATCTCTAAAAGCTCTGCACTAGAAACCTTTCAGTCAAAGTCTGAGTCTCTCTTTCAGTGTTTTAAAACTTAATGGAGCTGATACATCTCCACAGGACCTCAGAGGTCATGGAACAGATTAGATGGCTTGAACCTCACGCAGCCAGCCAGGTTTTCAATTTCACTGGAGCAGAGGCAGGAAATGGTCTAATCAAGTAGACTCCCATTTATATGTTGCACATATTAAATAAAAATACTTTCCATCACCTGTACAGTCTGCTGTAGATTCTACAAAGAGAGGCTTCAGAACAGCACCTTTACACTGCCATAGTTATGCAATTGGCCATTGATCTACCTCCTAGTTTCTTTCACAAAACAAGAGTAAAGGCCTTTGTGATCACCCTGTCTGTACCTGCAGTGAAGAGCTTCTTGCCATCTGCCACAGCAGAGGCAGCTGGGGAATGGATCTCTGGCTAGAGCCAGAAGGAAACAGAAACCTGTTTTCTGTGCCATTCCTGGTCTTTGGTTCTAACCCAGATGGAACCAGGTGAAAGAAATTGGAAAATGATCCCGTATTTGTCAGTAGCATAAATTGTTAGCATGAGTGGCTTAATACTGCATTCATGAATGCCTGCATCTGAGGGAGAGTGCAGTCTCATTACTGCCATAGTTGAGAGGCTTGTAGGTAACCAGGGACAGTCTTCCTGAAGCCAAGAAAAAAGCTCCTGAGTGAAAATTGTAATGGCCACAAGCTGCTGGTTCAGGTGACTCTCAGATGAGCAGTGCTGTAAGGTATCACTATGCAGAAAAAATACGTACCTATAAGAGAGCAGAATGTACAGGTAAACACCCTTAGGCTCAATGCTTGCAAGCTGCAGGCAAATCCTATGATTTGTTTTCCAAACAGCACAGGAGCAACACGTTATCCTTTTCTATTTTGCTTCCTCTTATTTTCCTTTCCACTCAGCCTCCCCTTGGGAATTCTTGTTTATCATCCAGCAACAGCCTCTGCGAAGAGGCATGGCTTCTGGCTGTAACGCCTGTCAGTACCTGAGCAGGCTCTGGCAACATCAGTTGGTGAACGCTGCACAAGAATGACTCATTTCCCCTCTTTGGGTCATCAAATGATGTAACAACCCACATATTTAGGATGAAAACTTGGAGAGCTTGATGCCCCAGATGAGATGGCAGTTGAAAGTATGAAGGGATGGAAAGGATTTATGCAACATGATAAACTGCCTAATAAAACTGTGCATTATTACTAGCAGTACTTGGTCAGCTCTTATCCCTATCATAATTCCACTAAACTGATTAATATATAAAATGAAAATGCTCCTAAACTTCCAGTTACTACACTAATAAAAAAATTTTAGCCTCAATACTGAGGTAAATTGGACAAGACTCCTCTATGTGTATGAGTTTCCAACCAGCCAGGTACAGGACTCTGTGATTGAAATTACTCATGTTCTATGTAAAGCCTACATGAACATCTTAAATTGTTAATGTGCAATGCTATGCTCATCGCGCTGCTGATGTCTATTGTTGTAATACTAATAATGTAAATAATTTCAGTTCACTGGCCCGTGCACTTCAACCATCCATTCTAATGATGCTGAAGCTTTCAGATGGGACAGCTCATCGCTTTGAAGTAAGTCTGATTGCCGTAATAAATAAAAAAGAAACCACTTGAAGTTCTTTTTAGAAAGTTGAATTACTATTTTAAATATTAAAGCTTTTGTAAACAGTGCATTATCATTGGTTGGTTTGCTTTGAAATGCTTCACGTTCAGTTTAGCTGCATACAATATGTAGTGAAACGCCAATGAAAATCATTTCATACCTTGTTCCAACACACATTTTGCTGAAACCTCATTTGTTAGAAGAATATTAATTATTCCAAAGCACTGTTGCATAATATCTGGTTTGATTAAAGATTATGGTTTTGTTATCGACTGTAACCTTCAGACCCGATGATGGTTCTTGAGGGAAGGAAAATTACTGGGGTAGTTTATATAATGTATGATACACTTCTAAACCTCCTACATTTGGTAGAGAATGGTAACATTCTCTTCTGTGGCAGAGGTAGTTTTAGTCTCTTCAGTGTGGTTTTTGCTGCTAGGAAAAAAAAACAACAAACAACCTCTTTGGTTTTTACCCCAGAATTAGTCAGTGGCAGTGTTTATGACGCCGCACGTAAAGGCTTGCCAGAAGATGGCATAGACTCTTCCATATTTTTAACCTTTAAAAAGGAATGTTATTTGTTCTATAAATAACATGGTGGTGCATACAGGAATTCAGTGCACAGCAGGCATTGTTACATCTGAACTGTGTAAAGCTTTTGGCTTCAGTTCATGTGTTAGTAGTAGTCTGGAGGAAGCACCAAAGCAGGGCTGAGATGGACTGATTTTACTGTTACAATGCTTCACAAGAAGGCAGCTGTTGAGGAAGGCACAAATTCTGTGCTACACTGCAAAGTATTGGAAGTGTCACTTCACAGAAGATCAAAGTCGCCCCTCTATGGACAGTCCAGCTCAGAGCATTCCATACACTCTGAGGTCTTCCCTAGAACTTAAATAATGCCAGGGGTTTCAGGTTAACCTTTTTCAGCAGGGTAAATTTCACTTATGAGAATAAAAACGAGGGAACAGAGTGCACTGTCAGCAAGTTTGCTGACGACACAAAACAGAGGAGCGGCTGACACTCCAGAGGCTGTGCTGCCATTCAGTGAGACCTGGACAGGCTGGAGAGTTGGCTGGGGAAAAATTTAATGAAATCCAACAAGGGCAAGTGTAGGGTCTTGCATCTGGGGAAGAACAACCCCATGTACCAGTATAGGTTGGGGACTGACCTGTTGGGGAGTAGCACAGCAGAAAGGGACCTGAGGTGTTGGTAGACAGCAATGCCCTTGAGCCAAGAAGACCAACGCCATCCTGGAGTGGATGAGAAGGGGTGGTTGTAGGGCAGAGAGGTTCTCCTGCCCCTCTGCTCTGCCCTGCTCACACCACAGCTGCAATCTTGTGTCCAGTGCTGGGCCCTCAGCTCAAGAAGGACAGGAACTGCTTGAAAGAGCCCAGCAGGGCCACAAAGTGATGGAGGGAGTGGAGCATCTCCTGCTGAGGAGCGGCTGAGGGAGCTGGGGCTCTTGAGCTTGGAGCAGAGGAGACTGAGGGGTGCCCTCATTCCTGGGGATCCATTGGGAAAGGGCAGTGTCAGGAGGAAGGAGCCAGGCTCTGCTCAGTGATGTCCAATGCCAGGACAAGGGGCAATGGTCCCAAGCTGAAGCACAGGAGGTTCAAGCTGAAGATGAGGCCAAACTTTGTCAGGGTGAGGGCACAGAGCATGGCCCAGGCTGCCCAGAGAGGTTGTGGAGTGTCCTTGTGTGGAGACACCCAAAGCCCTGGCCGTGTTCCTGTGTGACTGCTCTGGTGATCCTGCTCTGGCAGGGGTTGCACTGGGGGAGCTTTCCAGGTCCCTGCCAGCTCCTAGCATTCTGTGATTCTGTAAAACTAGTATATATTCTTTCCTGTTTAGATTTTGGGCTTTATTTCCTGGTGTATAACGTGAAGTCTTGCTCTTGGTGGCATTGTTCCTAGTTGGTTTGGTTTCGGGTTTGATTTTGGTTGGTTGGTTTTTTAAGTCTGTGGAAGACCCTTTGCTATTCTGCAGTGGAGATGTGTTGATGTGCCTCTCCAGTACATGCAGAAGTGCAGATATCTGATAGCAAACAATGTGCTGCTTTTTGAATCTCCCCATTGTTGCTGCTTAGATCTGAATGCCAAAGATCTGGCTGCAAATGATTTTTGTAACTGTTGAGTGGTCTTCCTGCAGTTAGTAGCTTCTTTAGACAAACCTGTGTTTTGGTTCAAGGTACCATATGCAAACAAATATAGTCCTCATCTCTTCAGTTTCCTTTCATTCAGACATGTTCAGAATGTTCTGCTGACTAACAGGGCTTATGTAAGATGATAAGTCCAGAAGATAATTCTGTTATGAGCAGTGTTTGGATGTGTGTGCCACAGGGAGGAGTTGCACCCTTTGGTCTCTTGGGATTGGTTTGTTGGGTTTTTTTTAATCACAGCATGATACCTGACAATGAAGATTTCTTTTTTTTCAAAGCAGTGGGAATCGCAGCATTTTGAGTGGTGGTGTGTATATGTCAGAAGTAAAAAGGACACGATGCCTTTTTATGCATTTCTGATGCATATGGAAAATGCAAATCAGATGTTGGATTCCTCTCACGTAATTGGTATTTGTGCTACCGTAGGCAGAAGGATGACATGGGACTCTGTCAGAGCTGTGTGTCTTCAGCGTAGTCAAGGAAGTAGAGTAAATTAGGCAGTGCTCTGCAGAGCAGCCTGGGACTAGCCTGGCTGCTGCTGGTACTCGTGTGAGCGAATGCATTTGTGCACTGCACTAACGTTGATCTGTGTCACCCAGTCTGTGCCTGTGGTTCTCTGCCCTAACAGACTTCCATCCATTTGGCTTCTCAGGCTTGAAATGGTAAAGGAAGGTCCATGAGTCTCCTGCACAGTTGAAGGTGCTTTGTATACTTAAATGAAAATCTGTTGCTTTCCAAGTACAGACAGTGCCCGGTCTACTTTTGAGTTTGCTGCCAAGTCTCTTGCTTTGAGGCTCAGTTCCTTTCTTCTGAAAGTTTGGACAAGCACAATATCTGGAATTTGTTGCTGGAGAATTCTGTGGGCTCCGTGACCTCCCAGGTGTCTTTATATTTCCTCATAATCCATGACTTTCTTACTTCACCGCAGCAGGCATCAGTTTACATTCTGGAGCACTTTCTCACATCGGGCAGCATAGAAATGTACTACATAGCTGGCATTTCTGCTTTTTCCCGCTCTCCTCTCCTTTTTCACCCAGATGGTTTAGTTGAATTAACTGAATTTTATTAACCTCAAATCCTTTGTTCGAAGTCTAAAACAAGAAAATGAAACAACAACAACAACAACCACCAAACCACAATGGTGTTTTAAGAGAGACTGGGCTGACGTTGTGGAATAGTTCCATGTTTCCTAACCAGAATGTTCTGTTTCAGGTGCCAGTTGCGAAGTTTCAGGAACTGAGATACAATGTTGCCCTTATACTGAAGGAAATCAATGATCTGGAGAAGAAGAGCATCCTGAAGATCCAGGACTAAGCACTTTTAAAGCCGGTGTTCATAGAACAGATCTGGACACCTCAGCGTGTTTTGCGAATGGCAAAGCAGGGGACCATCACCACTTTGCCTGTCTGAGCTGCAATGTGGCATTTATGATCTCTGCTGTAAATACTTTTTCTATTCAAGTGTTAAAAGCACAAGCTCTTTTCGTAAGACTTAGGAAAAACAAAATATATATCTATGAAAACGTATAATGCTGTTTGCGAGCATTTTTGCATGATTCATCAAAACATTTTTTTAAATAACTGTCTTAATAGATGTAAGTGCAATTTATTTCTGATTATGATTCATCACTCTTAATTATTTCTGAAAACCTGCTACCGGAAGCCCCATCAGTGTGTATCATAAGAAAGCTCTGCAATATCTCAAATCAAAAATAAAACAAACCACTCCTGCACTATAGGATGACAAATTAACTTGAGTTTTGCATATGTAAAATTGCTGTCTGACTTTCACTAAGTGACTGAAGTATAGCTATGGATATTTAAAGATATTTATTTTACTGAAGAAAATTGGAAGATTGCGAATCAGGGAACAAGGATCAACTGAGCTTCCAGAACTAATTCCATGGAGTTGCTAAGTGGAAAGGTGCAATCTAAGTCTTTATCTGGTTGATCAGAATGGGCTGAATAGCAGTAATCTCATAGATTTCTACCTGGAGCTGCCTGCCTCTTGTTGTGTTTGTTTCCTATACATTTAGTGTGAACAGAACCATCTGGCTTATTACTGGGCAGAAACCTCTGGCAGTGGGGTGACAGGGAATGGCAGGAGCCAGTAACCTTGCAGACCACAACAGCTGTATACTCATTAATAGTGCAAGTCAGCCCCCAGGTCAAGAAAACAGCTAAGCATAGGCTGAAGTTCCCTAAACTGGTCAGGCAGTTGGACTTTCATGATCATTGTAGATCCCTTCCAACTGAAATAGTTTATTCTTACTCCTCTGCCCCATGGAAGAACCCCCTTAACGTGAAGCACATGTTTCAAGTCTCATTTAAACACCATGGGATGACAAGAATGTCCCTAGAGGGGTTTTGCCAAGAAGGGCTGCGTTCCTCAATCATCGTCTGAAAGAGTTTTCTCCATCAGCAAAGATACAGAGGCTATGAGCAACAGCCCAGAGACAGCACAGGTTTTATCTAGCTATCAGAGGTGGCTTAGAAAGCGCATGCCACTACCATTGTTAAGCATCAGCTTATCCTAGCTGCTTTCAGGGTTTCCATCTCACTAGTACCACCCGTACATCTCTCATTTCTTGTGACTGTAGAACTTGCCTCTATCTCCCTCGCTCCCTGCAGAAAACTACTGAAATGAAAATTGTGACTTCAGGAGGTTTTTACACTCCCACAGCTGTTTGTGTAGGCAAGGATGACTTGGCTCTTGGATTTTAAGAATCACAACAGGCTGTACTGGGTTTACGTGGCAAGGTTTTGGTAGTGGGGGGACTGCAGTGGTGGCTTCTGTGAGAAGATGCCAGAAGCTTCCCCTGTGTCCAATAGAGCCAACATCAGTTGACTCCAAGACTGACCTGCAGCTGGCCCAGGCTGAGCCCATCAGTGACAGCAGCAGCATCTCTGGGACAATGTCTTAAAGAAGTGTCGAGGAGGGAAATGCACAACAGCAATTGCATCTGGAGAGAGGAGTGAGAAGATGCCATACATTAGGCAGTTTACTGTAACTGGAGGTTTACCATGCACACTGAGGGTACTTAAACACAGGATTTTCCTTCTTCTGTACTTAAAATAAGAGTTAATTTGGGCTTTCCTTCTGACAGATTAGTTTTCCAGTAAAACAACAGTTGTCAGCAGAGTGGCTAGTGGATAGACCCTCAGTTTGGATAAAATACGAGCCTTCAAATTTTTGTTAGGTTTCTCACAACTTCACAGTGAATTATGTCTTAAATATTGGTTCAACACTGAAATATCTTCTTACTTCACAAATAAAGTACTTTGGAATATGAATTCCACTGAATTCCTGACTAGCCCTTTCATTCCAATAGAGAACTAAAGTAATCTTTTAAGAATCTGGGTATGTCTGAACAGGAGTTATTTTGTCCAGCTCACTCTAGGTCTGGGTACGCTTCAAGGACACACTGTGAACCCCCCTTTCTGTACCACACAATGGAAGACACAACGCCAATGGGATGCGCGCTTCTGTCGGTTCCGAGGTCCTGTTGAGCTGATCGCTACTCAGTCATCAATTAGGAAGGCAGGAGGATTGCACAGGAAGGGCATCGGTTTTGTTTCCTTATTACACACTGTTCACAGACCAACAGGTAACAGGGACATTTCACAGGTTCTGATCGTAGCGTAACTGAAAAACAGACCCCAGTGATCCAAGTTTTCTCTATTTGATGGTGCCATGCATTTATTTAATGTAGCTAATGTATTTGTGAATGTCTTGATTCTAGTGATTTTCCAACCATGGCATATGAACATAAATTTCTCAATTACGTCATTTCTTCCATTTTATAGTATATGGAACATTATGCCTTTTCTTTCAAGATTTGTGTGTCAAAATATATTTAAAATAGAGCTTGAACTTGATTGTTTTCCAATGTAAATCATGTGTGTAACACAGCAGAAATGCTCACCGCATGCAGGAGGAGTCTCAGCAGGCAGAATGTGAAAGGACAGTTAAAGACAGTTTCCAGGAGTCATTCAGAGATGCAGTAGCAACATCACACAGAACTCACATGTCTTCACTTCCTCCTCTCCAACCGTGAGCTAGCACAGCTTCCTGACAGGACGGTCGGACCTCTCTCTTGGTTGTCTTTTTTTTTGTTGATTGGCTCAACTCCATGAGCCTTGAGTCTGAATCTGTTCTTGCCTATGGACCATTATAGAGTGTGCAGAGCACTTGGGAACAAAAAGCCATCTGTGGCTGTATTTGTTACGTGACTTTTCACATCCTTACTTCCAGTAGAAAAGGAGCTTTGTCAGCATGACTAGGATGCCAGAATTTCGCACTTGGGTTAGTCGTGTTTGAGGGGGGAAAGAAACAGGCTTGTTGGTTGCTTTTGTGGTCTGAATGTGTGATGCAGATTATAGCTCCAGAAGGCCGCTGAAGAAGGTAGTCATGCTCTCATACTGCCTGTTATGCCAGCCATTAACTGCTGCAAGAAGATCAGTATTGTGCTCATTGTCATTAAAAGGAAGACATTAAACCTCCCTTTGTAGAAAAATCATAGAAGGGAGATGTGCTTTTGCAGAGTGAGTCACCTGGCGTTACCTTCTTCTGCTTAAGTGAAGGATAAATCAGTTCTTGGTCTCAAGAACAATGCAGATAGGTAAAAGGTTGCTTTTTTATTTATTTTTCTGCTTTCTAAGCAAGTACACCTCAGGACCCACTGTTGCTCCATATCCATGCATATATGTATGAAAGTATGAACATTCCATGCTTTCAGGCTGTGTTATATAAAAACACCCCAGCATATCTACATTGAGCATGTACATTCAATTTACACAGCTATTTTTGCTAAAACAGTCTTTGCAGAGCCAGGTCTGATGTTAGAAACAAATATTTTGCAGTGGTTTGACTCCTAGTGAACAGTAAATTAGTATATTGGCTTTAAAATATTTTGGCATTAGTGACTATACAGCTCACTGTACCTGTCACACCCCACAGAGTACTAACATTCACCAAACACCACATATGCCAGGAACTAGCAGAGGCACAGCCCGCTGGTTTCTCCCCTAAGAAGCCACAGAGTTGTTGCCCACAGGCCATCCGTGCTAGGGTCTTAACTGTTTTCTGGCTTTGGATAGAGGTCCGTGTTCAAAACCCTCACAAGCATACAGCTTCCACCACAGGAGTAGTTAATAAGCACAGCTGCACTTTTCTCTTAAAATGCTTCAGCCACGTCCCTGTTGGTGTAGGAGAATTCCCAGATGTTTCACAGTGCTTTTTTGAGACTCATTCCAGCCCCAAGTGATCAGACTGTCAGCTAGCCCTGCAGATGCTTTCATGCATTGTAAACAGAAACCGTGGAAACTCCTCTCAGAGCACAAATGCTGATTACATTTTCTATGATAATCTATTTCCATTCCCAATCTTGAATTCACATGCTGCCAGAAACCCCACCTTTATGCCGTGACTTATCTAAGTGTCTGCTGTGTAACTATGTAAATACTGGTGGCTTATCCCTGATGGAGAGATTGTCACTGCATCGCTACTGGTAACCAGCGGTTATGTCACTTTCCCTCGCTTGAATGGGCTTTGACTCATAGTGGTTTTCAGGACAATGGTTATAAAATAACACACTGAGGGGCTGCCGAGACTAGAGTTTTGCAATAGAGACAACTGTCGACCTCAAGGCTACAGGAAAGTATATTTATTTTTTCTTTTTTTGTTGTTGTTCTGTTATAGTATGAGTTTTTCTTGCTTGGAAGTTTGGAAAACAAGTCATCTCTGTTAGCAAGGTTGAGCCTAGTGAGGAAACTCCATACTTCTGAGCACAAACACTGATTCTAACTGTCCTGAAACACTGCTTAACTGAAATTTTAGTTGCTTCAGTTGTCCTACCTTTCTTTGAATTATTTGTTAGCTGTGCTATACTTTGGATTATTGTCTAACTTAAGTGATGGCAGAAAGAACTACTGAAACCAGTGGTTATTCAGTTAACCTTTTCCTAATTAAAAGGCTTACCTGGAAACAACAGTTAGATGTTGAACTTTTTTTAAAAAATAGATTCAAGAGCCCTAGGGGCCAAATTTTTGGCAGGTGCAAAATGTCTTAGCATCATAGGAATCAAAGACAATTTAAGAGTCTGATGGCTGGTTTCTATTTCCAGGTATATATCTCACTTTCTACTTAAACTTAAGGATTGCAAATACATGGACACATAAACATCGCAAAATTAGCCCTCATTATTAATTTAAAGTGTACATTATTAAGAGTTAAGATCCAGAATTTAAGGGGCCTTAAATTATTTTTTTCACTTTCTAAGTTCCTCTGAACTTTCTCAAGTATCCTGTCTAAATGAAAAGTCTTACAGAAGTCACATTACCTCTCCTTTCTTCCGTCTTCTGTCCTGTCCATTCAAAGCCCACAGACAGGGCTTGTCCCTGCATACCTGCTGAGCTTACCCAGGCTACGCTGGAGAGTCCAGACAGTCCTGTAAGAAAGAAATGGGAAATTAATTCCATTATCCCCTCTCTTGAGCTTTGTGATGAGACCAATAGCATCAGTAAGAGGATAACCTCAGAAATTTCAAATTCTGTACTGGATTTTAAGACAGTGTGAAAAGCGCCCTATATTTTTAGAGTATTTGAAAATGTACGTATTTACACATGGACATTTCTAGAAACTAACTGCAGATCTGTGAAAAACTGCAAACAAAAAGAATCAGACAACTTCTTGTAAAACAACTGCTTCTACTCCGCAGCAGCA